ACAGCAGGGTTATACTGTAAGGATTTATTATCACTACTATCATTTCCTTTTTCTTTCTTAATATTTTCTCTCACTTGTGCCAAGTCGTGAGAAAGCTAACAAATCATCAAAAAGAAAAAAAAAACTGAAAAGAGAAACACACACATGCACAACTCCATGGAAGTTGGTATGAGACAGGCAGCTTCAGAAAGGAAAAACACAATCTCTGACTAATATGAAGGAGACTCCAAATTGCTTTTGGCAGAAATCTCTCAACCCCAGATTCCCCTCCCTCTATTCATATGTGCAGTTCCCAGCCAAAAGAAAATAAACTGTACAGCCATCTCACTGGCCCAACCTGTACTATTGGGTGACTGAGTGAGGATGGAGCAAACAAACAGTGGTGTACCATTATACACCTGTGTAATTAGTGTAAATACCAACAAAGATCCTGGTGTGGACCACCTTTATCACCATGATCACCTGAATTTTTTAAATCACCTCCTTCTTCCCCCACCCCCCGAATTTAAATGAAGTGTGATAATCTCCTGATCTCAAACATAAGAGAAAAAAATTCTTTCTAATTCTCGTCTGCTGATGGCCCAGGTGAAAGAAAACCCACAAATTCCACTTGATATGACATTCACCTCCCAAGAAAAGATTTATCGGGACACGTTTCTCAAGGAAAAAAAATAAAAGGATGGTTAATTTTAGAGGCAGTTATCTTAAACCTATTATGCTGTTCAAGACAGAAAGAGAATTAAATAGCCCAAATGGCCCTGAATATTTATTGCTGCTGTGCTTGTCTTTTAAAAAATCAGTCCAGCATCATTTTATTTGAACAGATGTAAAGGGCCAACTGAAATAGAGGGAGGCTAGAGCTTCAGGATTTGCCTTATCTTAGCCTCTACTCAAATGGACTGTGGCCATCCAGTCGGTCAGGACCCTCAGGCTGCTGTGGGCCATCAGCTATGAACTGTTCTAAGCAGCCTAGCTCATTGGAAAGGGGACTTGATTGACAATCAGAAGTCCTAGGTTCTTAGTCTAGATTTCAGCAAATTACCTTCTCTCTAATCATTTCTTCCGCTTCCTCCTTCTCCCTCTCTCCCCATCCCCTTCTATAAAATGAATAGATTGTACTACAGGATTGCTATGATCCTTATGGCTCTAAAAGTCAAATGATTCTATGAACTTCTGCCACATTGTCATTACAGCAGATATGGCATGCAATAGGTCACTTTCTTTCTCAGAAACTGTCGATATTATTCTGCTAGTGGAAGTTATTTTGGGGGGGCTCCTTTTCTCTCAAAAATGGCTCGTGAATCCACAGCTTGGCCGGTGACCTCCTTCTTGTTGGCCACTGTTTGAAGACAAAGAAGCTAATAATACAAATAGCGTTCTGTGAAGAGGGGCTGAGAACTTTGCCCAGATACCTGCCCATCCTCTTCTCCCATTCATCCCATAAGTGCCCTCTAGATCTTTGCTCTTCTCCAACTCCACTTTACTCAGGCCACTTCCCTCAGGGGGAATTTCTTCTCTCTCTCCCCAAATTCTAACCATCCTTCAGGGATCACAGATTTAGAGCTATGAGGGAATTTAGATTTCATATAGTCCAACCTCTTCATTTTATAGTTAAGGAAATTTAGGCTTGGGAAGATTAAATGATTTGCCCAAGATCACATAGATAACAAGTGGCAGAGATGATATGCAGCTATCTATCTATCTATATATATATATATATATAGGCAATAGATATAAAATAAGTTGGATTGGATTTTTTTCTTTAAAATTAACTTTATCATTGAAACGCCAATTAAAATAATCTCTTAAATTCATCTAGACTGTAAATTTTTTTTCCCTCAAGAGATTTGTATTTATCATCTGGGTGAGATAGCTATTTTTAGCCTCATATTACAGATGAGAACGCTTAGGTACAAGGGAGGTGAAAAGGGGGGAGGGGGGTAATTCAATGATCTGTATGGTACTTCCCAGTTCTGAAACAGGCTATTTATGAAATTAGTCAATTTCACCATGAGCTTATTAGTGGTGCCAATGGTTCCATCTCTAGTAGCCATCTATATAGCTGTATATAGTGTGGTAGAAAGAGCACAGGACCGGAAAACTCAAATCCTAGTTTCTAGATCTGCTTTAACCACTGACTTGCTGTTGTGATCTCAAGCAGTCACTTTAACCCTTTGTACCTAATCTTTCTCATCTTTAATATGGGGCTAAAAATAGTGATCTCACCCAGCTGATACAAAATCTGAGGGAAAAAAATTACTTAAATTCTAGATAAATTCAAGAGATTTTAATTGGCATTTCAATGATATAAAGTTAATTTTAAAGAAAAAATCCAATTCAACTTATTTTACATCTATTGCCATTGGAATAAATCAATCTCAACACATAACAGGTTCATAACAACTTGAGTCCCCTTCAACAATCTTTGTTCATCCCTAGCCTATACATTTTCCCTCTCATCCAGAACATGTAGAGTGAACTGTTCTTCAAAGATTCGTCTTTGAACTGTTTCATAAAGGTCCTTCCAGCTTTCTTTATATTCCTCAGATTTATCAACTTTAATTTTATTACAAAATTTCATTATATTAACCTAGCACAATTTGCCCAGTCATTCTCTAGACATTTATGTTGCTTCTAGGTTTTTGCAATTGCAAATAATGCTGCTATAAATATTTTAATAGATAGTTCCTTTTTACTCCTTTTTGATATTTAAGAGCATGTTCTCAGTACTGAGATTACTGAGTCAAAGTATGATTATTTTTGGTATTTTCTGCAAATTGTAATGGATTATTATGTATCCACTTTATTGTGTGTGTGTGTGTGTGTGTGTGTGTGTGTTTTCTCAAAGTTATATCAGTTGAAGAGATTTACCCCAGGAAAGACTGGGGAAAGCAGATGCTAGGTGCTTTTCTTAGGCATTTTTCCTAGCTTAGGCCCTTGGAAGGAGCAGAGAGAGAGTCAGGGAGGGAGGACAAGTACACTACATCTGGATTCCTTTCTTGGCCACACCCAATGAGGTGAGTTTAGTGGGGTCCACCAAGCCCTTTGGAGAATTTAAGTTTTGCCATTTAGTTGGGTGAAAGTTTCATAAGGAGTTGAAGTTGGGGAGGTGGAGGTGGTGGGAGAAACTCGAACTTGGCATTCTTCCCTCTGTCTGCTTCCACAAACGACTCCGACATTTTACGAAGAGAGGAAAGAATCGGATTATTCCTGCCGATTCATTATCATTTAAAAAATACTGAACGTAGAGGGGTTCTAACAGTTCACTGATTAGCCAATCAGTCAAATATAAATGGATTGAACACATCCTATCTCGAAAAGGCCTTTTCTGTATAGTAGGTGTTAGAAAAGCAGAATCCCCCCCCCCCCCAAACCCCCATCCAAGCACAGGAGTTTACAACTTAGACTAGGGCACAGAAACACTTTTCACGAAATAAGGGAAGCATGCTTTCCAAGCAACTTCGTCAACAAGTGCAAAGGAACAGGGAGCAGACCGAGTGCAGGACTCGCTCTGTGAGGCAAGGGAGGGGACCTGGAGCCAAGATCCTGGTTCATTTCCTGCTCTTTGCAAGGGCTACGGCTCAGACCCAGAAATAGCATTCTGCTTTCCCCGCAGATTTCAGCCCTCAAGGAATTTCGGATTTACTCCACTCAAACTTTAGGGAAACAGAGTATGCATTTCAGCCTGGTCTACGGATGGAGTGAACACCCAGTTAACCTAGCCAGAGGCATCCCAAGGCCGGCATCTCAAGTACTCCAGCCGAGTCAACCTATTCCTACAGCCAAGGACAAAGTCTTTAGACAGTCACAACTGCATAGCTCTCCACACACCCAAACCACAGCAGTGAGAAGATAGAAATCTGCATGGCATCTTCGGGAACGCGACCCTCTGTCTGGTCTGTCTCCCCCCTCTCACAAAGAGGGGGAGCCCATTCGGCTTCCCCCCTCCCCCCAGCAGAGTCCAGGGTCACCCGGGATAGAGCAAGCAAGGCGAACCTCCTAGCTCCACATCCTTGCCTAAACTCCAGAGAGAACACAGTGGAGATAGAGATTGCAGCGTCTGCCTTCCCTTTCCCTTGCTAATTTGTAGCACAGCTTTGGGGGCTGCTGAAGGACCTGGGTGGCTTTCCCCGCAACCTGTAGAGTACAGCAGCAACCAACGACGCCCTTCCTCGCAGTCGCCGAACTGAGGCTCGCGTGAAACCCGCAGAACCTTTTAAATAAAGCTTTCAGTGCCCCTTCCACCCCACCCCCCACCCCCAGCCCCGACTCAGATTTGGCAAGGATTGGTTACGGCTGTAGCTGGTTAAAGTTTAGAATCTAGTAATGAATGGAGGTGGAAAGAGGACTTAAACTAACCACCTACATGCATTAATTAACCTATTTCTTTTAATCACCTAAAAGACTTCCAGGCAGTTTCACCACTCCCCCCAACACCTGCTCCCCCCCCATAGGATGATAGAGCCTGTCTCTGGAAGGAGTGAATGTGAGAGATCCTACTGGTTTGGGGTTCCTCCCCCCAATTCACTGTTGACTTCAACCTGCCTTGTTTGGAGGGAGGAGGTGGCGAGGGGTAAATTGGAGTGGACACGTTTTGTATGATCCGCCAAGGGATTTCAAATCCCCAGTTTTGCAGGTTGGGCAATAAAGGGAACAGTGGCGGGGATAGGATCCGATACGAATTCGTGCTAACCCACCCTAGCGAGCTATGTGTGACAATGCTGAAAGAAGACAGACTCCGCCGTCCCGACCTCCCTTACCCACTTCGCCCCACTCTTACCCCCCCCCCCCCAACCAAGAGAAAAGGATCACTTTATGAAAAGAAAACGCCTGCTCTACCCAGGCGCTATGAAATCCGGCCCTGCACCACCAGCAGAAACTTTCACAAACAAACCGTTTTCCTTTCCTCTTTACGCTCTCCCCCATCGGTTCCCCTTTCCTGACTCCCTCCTCTTAATCCTCAATAGAGATCGGGAGAAAAGATTCCGATGCTAACCCACCTTGCTGTCCCTTCGGTCTCCTTTCTCCAGCCCGGCTCCTATCATAAAAGCCACCAGTGTCGCTTTATAGGAATTAAAGTGAAAAGTAGCTCATGGGTGCCTGCAGCCGACAGGAGGTTGTCATTGATTTGTGTGAAGCAAGCTAAGCCATTCCAGGAGTGGTTCTGAGAATGCACTCCCACCCCTCCCTCTAAACCAAAAGTATTTGGCAGTCAGCCGCTTGCGTCCACCTGTACTATTAAGCTCTGAGCACCAAGTGGGACAAGTACCAATTTTACCAGTAGCTTTTCATGCTTCACTTTATAACAGGCAAATTAAATTCCTTTGAAAGAGAATGGCAGAAAAGAAAGCAGTGTTAGGGTTGTTGTTTTTTCTCCTCCCTTTTCCCCTGGGTGTCTCTCTCTCTCCTCCAACATATCATAAAATGCCTTATACCATTTATCAGGAATCGCGGGTGGCTTTTTTTTTTATTATTGTTTTATTCACTTGTATGTATCTTTCACTTTTAAAAGGCAATTTTATTTCCATTTGCCTGAAACTTGAGTCCAATAAAATTACTAGAATTATGTTTTCTCCTTAAACGACCTGGGCATAACTTAACCAATTAAACGCAGCCCAGTTCTTACTCACAAGGCAAAAGGAGGGGAACGCGGGAGGGAAGCACAGTAACTATAGCTTTCTTCCAACAACAGTCCAGGTGGAGGATTAGGAACATCCCCAGGTGGGGTTATAAGGTGCAAGCCTGACTGCCTCAGAAACTCCATGGATGCACAGTTACCCCTGAAAACTTTTCTTTTTAGGCCATGACACTAAAATGGGATTTGGAAACACCTAAAAGAGAACAGAATGGCCTGAACTCTGAACAGGCACTGTGACCTCAATGAGAGTAAATCCACCTCTAAGGGCACCTCCGGTTTTATATCCAAAATGAAAAAAAAATCTTTGCACCCCACCTCAGTGTCAGTCTTTTCTCTGCCCCTCCCTCCAATTTCCCTATTTATTATCAGTAGTACCACCATCCTCCAGTCACCCAAGCTCAACATTTCGGTGATCTTTTGCTCCTCCCTCTATATTAACTCCCTCCTCCTTACTTCACTCCGTCCTCCTTCCCTCCCTACACAGAAATACAACTAGGTGCCAAGGCCTGAGAATTCAACCTAATCCCTGCTGCCCTCATCCCCCAGAGCACTCTGTTTATACCTCTCGTATTCAATAGTTATATTCCTATTTGTACCATAGAATGTAAGCATACATGAGGACTAGCAAACCTTTGTATACTCACTGCCTGGCTCATGAATTTGAATGCTCAAATGCTTGTTGAATCTGTAGAATGGGCCAAATCACTCACCAGGGGGGTGGATGTGGATCCAGCACCCAAAACCCAGGGACTGGCATTTCAACAGACATAGCCTTTACCACTGCTTTGACACATATAGCAAGTCAGGGAGACCACTTGAGATACTGGATATACAGCTTCTTATTTTTTAGATGTTCTGAGCTGGGCAGGAAAGCTCTAATCATATAAGTCAAGTCCCAACAGAAATGGGAACTTTCAGAGCTGGGGTGGTTGTGCCCAAGGAAAAGGGTGGGGATACACTTACTCACAGGGGCTTGCTTAACTGGTGCTATGGCAAGGTAAGCAGATGACCCTTCCAGTTTGGCACTTGAACAATGCCTCCTGCTCTACGAAGCTTTCTTCTCTGATCCCCCAAGCCATAATTCAGTTTAATTCAACAAGCATTTACCTCAATCAGCATTTTGACCTCTCTTATTCAGTTATATGTTGTTTCGCTTTATCTATGCCTGTGTCCAAGTGCATGTTTCTGGGAGCATTCAGCAAATGAGCCTGTCAGCTTTTAAGTTTTCTCAAAGTCAGATGCAAATAAAAAAATACACACACATATATATAGTAGATATATGTATGTATATATGTGTATATATGTGTGTATGTATATAGATAGATATAATTAAAAGGAAATGGCATAAGGCCAAGGACAAAACTAGCAAGCTCTAAGTATAGAGGGAGTAAGCGGCCACCTTTGTGGTGGTTTATAAATGGTCTCCAGAAGGCTTCCCTGCCCAGAAATTCCTCATCTACCCAAAAAGGAATAGTGGAAAGAAGCTCCATTATTGGACTTGGAAAACCTGGGTTCTTATCCTGGGGGCTTTTCTACTGTGTGACCTTGAGCAATCACTTCACCTTGCTGGGCCTTAATTCCTTAATTTATAAAATGCAGTTCTTAACCTTTCTGTGTGCCCTGGTCCCCTTCTCAGAATAAATTTTTTAAAATGCATAAAATAAAATATATAGGATTACAAAGGAAACATATATACAATACATTTATAATTACATACAATTATATGTGATTACAATATATAATAAATATATTGAAATGGTTATCAAAATACATTTCTTTTTTAAAACAAGCTCACAGATCCCAGGTGAAGAACCCCTGTTAGTCTATCAATAAATGCTTATTAAGTGCCTACTGTGGTCCAGGCACTGTGCTAAGTACTGGGAATGCAAAGAAAGGCACAAGATCGTTGATGCCCTTGAGGAGCTCACAGACTAAGGAGGGAAACAACATGCAATAACTATGTACAAACAAGCTATACACAAGACGAATTGGAAATAATTATAGAGGGAAGACACTAGTATTGGGGTGGAGGGTGTCAGGAAAGGTTTCCTGTAGGTGGTCCCTTCCAACTCTGACATTTGATGATTCTTCACTTTCAGGAGCCACAGTACCGGCCTCCAGGTCTCCTCCCTAACCCTGCAGAGTGAATCCTGCACTCAGTCTGCTCCTTGAACCTTTACAGTTATTGGAGAGAATTCTTCCCTTATTTTGTGACAAGTGTTCTTATGCCCAGTCTGAATTGTAAACTCCCGAATTTGTTGGGGAGTCTGACTTCTTTTAAGCATTAGTAATTCATTCCTTTGTGTTAAGCAGTGCCCCTTTTCTCTATTCCTATTTATGCCTCCTGGCAGGTGAGTTATTAACATCTTATTAGGAATTAGTTCATTAGGAATTTTCCTCTTCAGTTATTGTGGCCTGAGCAGTAGAAGGCTTTGTGTATCTGAAACAAATTCCCACTTACAGGTCCCATGCAAAATCACTCACTGAAAACCCAATTATATTTTCCCTGTTATCCCACCCACAGCCCAATAGCAATCAAAGCTCCCCACAGACTCCCCAAAATCAATCACCTCAATCAATCAAATGAGATAACATTTCTAAAGTACTTATATGAGTGTCTGGCACTTAGTAGGTGCCATATAAATAGTTATTCCCTTCCCCAATGGACCAACCAACAACTCTTTACGGAGTATTTCCTAAGCCTCCCACCCTGTGCTAGCTACCGTGGATGATGCAAAGAAGTATCAGGCATGGTCCCCGACCTCAAAGAGCTAGCAATCTAGTCGGGGAGACAAACTCATAAAATAACCGATGAACTAGGTTTCGTCTTCACTCCTCTGGGCCTCAGTTTCCTCATTTATCAAATCAGTGGGGAGGGTAGATTAAATGTTCTCAAAGGTCCCTTCCAACTTCAAATCCTACAATCCTAAGGCATTCGTATAGGAATCAGTATTATAAACTGATATAATTAAGTGGTACATTGTGCCATGTGTACAATTAAAAAAATAGGGCAGTATATAATTAGGCAGTAATTGTGGGGCACAGACAATAAGTGAGAAAGGAATTAGATTCTAGTGGGCTGATATTGTCAAGGAAAGCTTCACTGAGGAAGCGGAGGAAGAGCTGGGTCTTCTAGGATGGGAGAATTTGAATATCAAAGACAGAATGAGGGGAATGGAAATTCATGCTGAGGATAAGAGTATGAATAAAGGCCTTGGAGGAAGAGAGAGGAAGTGGGACAACTAGGCTGGAGCAGAGGGTGTGTTGGGTGTAGTGGGAAATCAGGTTGGATAGTTAGGGTGGGGCCAGATTATGGATTCAATAGCAACTGGGAGCTTCCAACTGAAAGGAGTAAGCCTTGGGAAAATGGGTGATATTTTAGAGGGGAGGATGGCTTGAAGATTATCTTTCAAAATAACTGGAAGTTGGCAATGCAGAGGGGCTTGGGGAGACAGCAAGAAAGGGAAAAGTTATATTAGACTTGCCTCTTGGCTGGATCCTTCCAGTAGGGAGGTAGAGCCCCTCCTTTTTGTGTCTCTAGTCCCTGTGTTTGTAAAGGAGTGTCTGGTTAAGTCAGTAAGCTGTGCCAGTCTAAATCATATCTTAGGGCCCCAGATAACCAGCAAGGAAAGTTTGGAGGCTCTCCAGCCAACACCAGCTCAGTCCTGCAGTGGACAGTAAATGTCACTCCCTCCCCCTTAATCACTATTTGCCCGGCTTCTGACACTCCCTTTTGAAATTTCCCTGGGCAGAAAGTGGAGAGCCCCACCCTATATCCCTCCCCACTCCTCACTTCCCCTCCTTTTTCTCTCCCCCTGCATCTGGTGCCTGCAAGCTTCTGGGTGGGGGGGGGGGGGGGGGGGGGGCTAATTGTCTGAGAAAATAGAAACAAAAAGGAGTCCAGTGGAAAGAAAGCTGGTGAGGAAAGGTTGAGAAGGGAAGGGGTGAGGGTGAAGTGGATTATTACGTGAGAGCCTTGGGAGGAATATCTGAGCCTCTGAAAACTACACAGATACGTCGTGCTATGTGGTTTCTTCTTATTCCTCTGTTCCTTCCCCAGGTCCCCACAAAAGTTCTTGTTTCCCTGCTCACAGGAGGAAAGCCTCAGCCCATGAAAGTATGTTTGAATTTTAAAAGTTTTTCCTTTTGCATATCAGGATTGAGGGCTCAGTAAACGTTATTTATCCTAATGAGTATAAATGCATTGTTAATAATTAGGCTTGAGAATGAAAGGCCTACACAGTACATTGCATCAAACTCCTAATATGCTCACCTGGAACAGTAGGGAGTTTGGTTTTTAACCACAATATATGAATAAATGGATACGTCAGGGATAAAAAAAAAAGAATACAACTTGCACTCATTTATCTATACACAACATAAAGAAGAAGTTCATAAAAAAAGCTGTTGGGGGGGCAGCCCTAGATCTGGAGTAGGAGGATCTGGGTTCAAATGAAGTCTCTGACACAACCAGTGTGAGCAATTTTGAGTATATTCCTTAACCTCTCTGGGCCCGAGTTTCTTAAAATGAGAAGGTTG